CAGCGCAGCGGGAGGTGCAGCGGGAGCGGGACAGTGAGTGCACCGGGACAGCGCCTGCACCGGGACATGCACCGGGGTCGTGAGTGCACCGGGATAGTACACGGGGACATGCACCGGAACAGCGCCTGCACCGGGGTAGTGCACCAGGACATGCACCGGGATAGTGAGTGCACCAGGACCGGGACATGCACCAGGACAATGAGTGCACTGGGACAGTGCACCGGGAGCGGGACAGTGCACCGGGACAGCGAGTGTACTGAGATAGTGCCCCAGGATAGTGAGTGCATGGGGACAGGGAGTGCACTGGGACAGTGGTGCCATGCACATGGACAATGCACTGGTGCAGTGCTGCAGGAGAGTGCAATGGACGGTGCACAGAGATAGTGCTCCAGTGTACTGGGATAGTGAACAGTGCACTGGGCAGTGCTCGGGTACAGTGCACCAGTGCACAAGGGCAGTGAACTCGTACAGTGCACTGGGAGAGGGTTGACATGCGGACATTGGTGATGTGAAGGTACAGGGTGCTCTGAGCATGTGAGATGTTATGGGGTTCCCAGGGCACCACCCGAATCCAGCCTCTCACAGGGCTGGATGCTGGGATGGGGATGCAAAGCATCTTTCAGCAGGCCCATGTCATGCTTCATCATCACCCCACACTCCTGCTTTCCTACATTTGGGGGAATTTCCTTTAATGCCACATCACAAATTCCAAATCCAAGCAGGGGGATATTCCCCCCAACCCTCTAATTCCCATCCCACAGCCCCTGGGGCAACATTTCCTTTATAAACCCAAGATCCTGCGAAAATAATCCCCCAAACCAGCAGCAAAGCTCCCGCCATTCCCAAGCTCTGACTCAGGGTTTCTGCTCGGGAACGGCGCCGAGGCCTCGCTAGCTCCCACTCACTGCAGACTCCAAGCCCGGATCCCGTGCGGTGACTCACGGCCACACGTGCCGTGCTATAAGAGGCCGGGAATGCCGGTTCCTGCTTTCTGTGGAGCTCCTTCCAAAAGTGCCCGCGGGCGGTAGAAAACAGCAACGCCGCGGGAGGGTGGGAATGGCAGCCGGGATTTGTCCTGGCTGTGGATTTTGCAGCAGAGGTGTTTATCCCGGTCATTTCACCGGGTCAATGCATCTGTTGCTGAATTCCTGGCAATGCAATTCCCATGGGAGGGAGAGGACTCGGAGCACAGCCCAGTTACGGGGTTGCAGGTGCATTTTGGGGGTGGCTGTGTGTTTTCCCCGAGGGGTTTTGGCAAAGCCAGATACATTTTGTATAAATCAACTCGATTTTGCAGCTCCTGGGGTAGTAAAAGCCTCAACCCAAACTGGGTGGGCTGTCCCTGGTGAAGAGTCCCTCTGTCCCCATGTCCCCAAAGGGTTCAGGGATAGCTGTAGCCCCCCCAAACACAGCCAAGGTGCTGCCCAGATGTTGCATGCGTTCCCCAGGCAGCAGGAGTCAGACGGTCGTGCTCAATTGGACTAAAAGTCCAATTGTATGCTTCTTTGACCATACCCAATGCAGGCTGGATCGAGCCCGTCGCCTTTAGCCCCAATGTTCGGGTA